GATCGATCCGCTGGCTGAGAGCTTTGTGCTCCCAGCGTCCCCTGTGGCGATGCTATGCGTGCTTTCCCGTTATTTACATAAGTCTCTGAAGTATAGTACTCTTGGGAGAAGCTGAATCTTGGTATCGGTGTTTCCGAATCATTCCCGACTATTTTCTTGTTTCGGAATCTAAAATCGAACTCTACAAACTAAACTAGCTTTCGTTTTTCTAAACATACTACAGCTACCGCGCCACAATTTACTCGGCAACGTTATACTTACACCTAATCTTCCGAACCTACAAAAGAAAAACGGAGTTACCAATAATCCGCCCACTCGTCGATCAACCTCTCCAGCCCACCAATTACCATGTAGATCATCTGCGAATCTTTCAATTCCTCGAAGTCGATCGAACCAGTCTGGAGACTTCGATGCCTGGGCAGACTACGAGATCATGGTTGCACGCCTCCCTGAGACGTGTTCAAAATTTCCAACAACGAATAAAGGATAAATAATTCGAGAACATTCTTTTCTACATTAACGTTTTGAATAATAATAAATGATCAATTTGTCATTTCTTCGGTCTTCGGATCAAGATATGTATATTACTCGCAACGATACTTCTACGGTGCTACGAAGACCGAAGAAGTTACAAAATATTTTCACAAAATTCTCAAGAAAACAGAGCGCAGGGGTACTCCCGACGTTAAACGATTAAAATAGATAAATAATGGACGAACCAATAACAACTTGTAAATTCACCAAGGCGCAGCGACGTCAATTCCGCTGACACGAGGGACTTCAACGTGGCTCGTTCATCCTTTGCCATTCAACTTCAGCCAGAAGAGCGACCAGATCGAAGATAGAGGCGATCTACAACCCAAAGGAACAGTAAACACTCGACTAGACTGGGACTCTAGCATCGTCGCCCCCCCCTCCAGCTGGCTTTCATCTTTGTGCCTATTCCACGGGCTTTTCTTCCTTCTTTTCTTCGATCGATACCGTAGCCGTGCCAAGCAGAAGCCGCATACCGATGAATGAAGAGAAAGAAGAAGAGACGAGGAGAAAAAGATCGACCACAATCGGTGCCAACCGACAACCGGCTGGTGACTTTATTTTTACTCGCTACCTGTCGCGATTATTTCGACAAAAAGCAGCCGCGATTATTGTCGAAACGCGGGGAACGTTATTGCGCGCGATTATCCTTTGAGAGAACCGTGAGCCTGGCAGTCCGAGGATCGCTCGAGCAATTTTCTCGTCACTGCCCGAACATTTCTTGCCAGTGTCGATAGTCGCTGTGCCTTTGGGATATCGTCCCCTGAACATTTTCGTCGCAATTAATTGCTACAGCAACTAAGTGGCCCCGAGTTCGTTCACCCCTCGATAAGGAATTTCGTGGAACCGAGGCGAGTCGTGTAATTGAATTCGATCGAAAGAAAGGGCAAAGAAAGAAAGCTCGCTTTGCCTGCGTTCTGAGCAACACGGTGTCCGTCTCTGACAGTCCCTCTTCCTTCTTCTGTCTCTCAGCTGACACTTTCAGAAATGTTTCGCGGGTAATTACTTCGGAGCTTCAAGTGCCGGTGAAGGATGGGGAACAAAAAGAGGAGCGAGGAATTCGCGTGCATCACGTCGCGCGAGATGTATCGTCGATTGAATAAATTGCGCGAACCGTTACCCCTGCCGAAAACGACGCAGGGAAATCGGTATGCGATGGGTGAGAGTGAACGAGGAACCTCGAAACGTAACGTCTTTCGAAATGTAACGTCCATCCTCTTTTCTTTTATTCGAACAATGAGCATTCCAGTTTGTGGCCACAATTAGCGAGGAATCCCGAGATCGTTCGGGAGAATTCAGGTCCCGTGACACGGGGCAAGGGTGACGCTGCGACTGGGAACGTTTTCTAATCGCGGAGGCTTCTAATTAAGCTCCTCGAGTGGACGGAAAACCACTGGATGCCTGACGAAGTACGTCACGCCAAAAAAGCACAACCGCTAACACGTTGACCGCCACGTCAGTCATATATGAGTAGCAAGGGTTTTCTAAAGTCGCAGAAATAAGTACTAGCATAAATGTTAGGTCATGTAACATTTAACAGTCAACGTCCTTAATATAGACTCTGAGCGGAGTCTACTTCACCTACCAATAGAAAGTGGAGATCGTTTCCTTTTGGAGGAGCGATCCTCCAGATTTTTGCTGCTTCCGGCTTCGCGCTTCTTCCAGCGTTTGTCACGTGGAATGTGACTGTGACTCAAATCCGCGTAAACCGCCTTCCGGGATAGCCCATGGAGGAGCACCGCCTCGATAAATAAAGAGCCAAGGCTCGCCTTTGGATCCCGAGCTCCGTTATCTCTTATCGTCCCGGCCACCCTCCACCTCGTGGTTCTGCGCGAAAGATCGAGCCGTAAAGATAACGGGCGTCTCTCGGTTATCCTCCCATAACGATTACGAGTCATTGGAATCGTTATCGTACGTTCGCCGGCAGAATCCGCGGTCTCCTCGTGATACCTCGTGAAATGTCACCCACCGCTGGAATCCCACGAGCGGCGGAAACCGCTCTGTTCGAGCAAAGCTTCCGGCTAGCGGGGAAACTTTCGGGTCAAAAAATCTCTAGAGTGTTGTTTCCCGCTTTCTGCGTTGAATTTTTTCTCTCGGGTTCCGTTTCTCTGGTTTAGATCTCTTTGAAGTTGCAAGTGAATATCTTCTTTGCCTTTCAGGACCCCCAATCAACCCAATGATATGCAACCTTATCGCTTTACTCTAATAATCGACGATGATTCTATTCAATGTGAAATACAAGCATGGAAGAGTAACACTTTCTATGGGAACCCTTAACACTGTTAGGAATTCCAGTATCTCTTTAATTTAGTTAGACTTTCCAACAATCCACCGCTCAAGCGTTAACTCCACCGACTCCGCGAACCCGATCAACGCATACCTCGATCGATTACTACAAATCCGCTGATTAAAGATACAAAGTCCCAAGTGTACAATAATCGTATAACGAGATACCGCCGGTTGGCGCAGCAGACGATAGAGATTTCACCGCGATAATGACTTATTGTCGTCCATTGGCATAACGGTCCGCGGCGAGGCGAAGTCTTGACTTTTCACCCTGAAAGGGAACCAAGGCTCGGGAGCGCGATTATCAAAGGTCAGCCGGATCGTTAGCCGCGACTCCCGTAAATCGGCGTAGGTCAGTGAATCGCGAATCAGCAGCCACGGCCTCGTGCGAATGCCGTTGACCCGATTTAAGGGAGTTTAGACGCGATCCTTGAAGAAAGATCGTCGCATCGATCGCTCGATCAGATTCTCTGTCCCCAGGCTGTTCTCACGGTGTCGGTGATTATCGATGAAACGTCATCCCGTCCACGGCATCCTTCCCTTCGACGGAAATTTCCATCTAATACGTTTCCTGACCTTTCGAGGGATCAGACTGACCGTTGTGCAGGAGATGCGTTGGCGAGAGATAACCAGCTTTGTCGCACGACTTGGCGTCCGAAATTGGTATTGGAACCAGACGGGTGTACTTGATTTAGGGCATTTTATTTCGACGGAAATTTATTCCATCTTATGATGTTTGACACAAGTATTGTGTCGTGATACTGTGGACGATTAACTCGCGACAAGGTAAACAGAAATCATTGTTTCTCAACTAATACTGCTCGCTAAACACGTTATTGGCGCAGTTATGCTCCTCGTTGCGCAACATCCCACTCTTTCCGCGCGAACTGCTCTTTACGACCTGTCAAGACTTCGCCTCGCCTCAATCATCCGGTTACCGATAATTACGATCGCCGGTCGTCCGGAACAAATTACCCAGCGATTTTTACCGATGTACCGGTATCGTCACACAGGCTCGCTCGACCCGTGGCCAATGACGCGGCGTCTCGTTATCCTGGCCGATCGTTCGATTTTCGCGCCAGGAAGAAGACTCGGAAAGAGTAATTCCCTCAGAGAGAAAAAAATAGTACGTATATTCCTCGGCAAGAAAGAGGAATGCCAGTTTGAAATAAATTCTTCAAGTACATTCTATCTCTAAATGAAATTAGAGAATGCAATTCGGTTAATTTTCTGAAAACGAAAGAAACTATTTCCAGAAGAGAAAATGAAATAATCTTTGCTCGTAGTAATCATCGATCGAGGATGTTCTAGGAATCTTCGAGGGCAAAGGAGCCATGGCCCACATGCTTCCGTAAACATGGTAACTTGGCCACTGAAGGATTACGAAAGATTCGTGTTTGAACGGAAGCATTCGGTTCGTCCTTCTACCCAATTAAGAAATTTCGAACGTGTATTAAGAGTACCTGGAAGCAGTCGTATATTTTCCAATACTTAACGAGCACTAGACACGCGAAGCAATTAAACATGGAAGACAAATATTAGAATAGATATCCATATATACGAGATCCTGAATTTCAGATTACACAGACTTTCGCTAATTTTAAAAACGGTCTCGTCTAATCAAACACTCGTGTTTCTATAAATACGTCGCGTATTGGGAATCTATGAAACCACTCGAAGTAATGGAGAGGAGATCCAAACAGTTCTTTCGTCTAGATAAACGTTAAACGCGTCCCGTCGTTTAATTGAATTTAGAAAGAAAAGACTAATTTCAAAGATACGATGCAATGGAAGAAATGAAAGAAAATTGAGCGCGACGAATGTGTCAATCGTTCGGATACCAAGTTTAAATAGGAAAAAATTGTTAATTCCATTTTGAACTCTACGGTGGCGTTTATTTTCGGGGGCCGAAACGCTCGAGGGATCGCGAGAGGAAGGAGACAAGAGTATCTCGTAATTCCCCGCAGAATCCTTGTAGCGGGATTAAGCAATTTGCAGGAGTACCTTCTGGTCTAACCACAGACCGGTCATAGGTTTCCCCAGGCACAATTGGGCCAGCCATAAAGCCATCTTCTCCTTGCTCGGGGCGTCCCGGCGAAGCTGAAGCGGAGATGGTCTGAATTCTCATTTAGATGAAAAGTTTGAAATGGCCAATAAAAGATAAATAACTTTCGGTCTGCTGTTTGTCCAATCGCAATTAAAATCTGTATTAATTACATCAATCAAATGAAATTTCACGCTGAACGAACTAAGTTCTCTTCCTATCTGCTCCACAAGCATTTATATTCTTGTGAATGGTTATCTGGAAAGGTATTTTCCTCAAACAGCCCACCTCTGCACGATGTAATCCTCCGTTCCAAGTAGACAAGAAGAGAAGAGTGGCTGCGTCTAAGCTAAATGCGACTAAAGCGATAATTTTAAGAATAGAAAAAGCTTGTCTCTTCTACGTTAAGATAAAGAAAGCATCTCGAGATACAAAGTCTGGCGGTCCATTAACTTTTACAGAGCAAGCGTCTTACGGAGAAAGTTGATCGCTGATAAGGCGAACCTTTCTCGGTGGAAAGGGCTGAGAGCGTTAGAAGTGGAATGCTTTAAGATATTAGAAAAATGTACGTACACGATATTTAACGGGCTACATTTTCCCAAAATGTTTCTACATATTAGCACTGCCAAGGTCCCGGACTAAATTCCTAGAAAAAGGGATCAAGCAGGCGCATTGTTCCCATCTTTCCCCGATTCCTCCTAATCAGCTCCGAAACTCACCCGAGATCTTCGTTCCTCCTCGTCCAGCCGAATCCGGCATTGATTCACCAGTTGTCGGGGAAGTGGTCCAGGAAACAATTGTCACAGGCCCCTCGTTGTCTTTCCTCTTCGAGTGGAAGCCTCTGTGGACACGCCGAGGACAAACAGACACGATTCCCCAAAACGTGACGAAACTCAGGCCGTTGACATCGCACCGGATGACGGAATCTTCGCTGGTGGAAACGGAGAGTGCTACGTTTGATGTTCGACGAAGCTGAAAAGAGGCGCGCCGTTAGGTCGAACAGGTAAAGCTTCGTAGGCGGGGCGAGGGGTCCAGAGAAGGAACACGAAGGAAGAAAACGTCTCGAACGGTGGCCCGAACGACCCGGAGAACCGGAAACGGTTCTCATGAGCTGCCAGTTCAATTATCAGCGAGCCCGTGAGCCACGAGTCCTCGGTTAATTAGGTTCCGCCGCTATCTCTTACATTTCGGTGAGTAACGAGCTCGAGAAAAGGAATGGAGGAGAGGCAAACGCATCCGGTAAATCTCTGGGGAGCGTTCCATCGGCACGGACGGGTCGAACTCGATCAGAAGATCGACGAAGAAACGAAAGAAACTTAATAATTGTAAGAGTCTAAGAGAAAAAAATAAGACACAGAGATTCGAAGCCACGATCCTCGGATCCACAGTCAACCGCTTTTCCTACGCGATCAATTCCGATTTCATAATCTGGTCTTTCTACATGGGATGTGAGTCGTTGCTCCCGAGAGTCGTCTAACGTATGTAGCGTATCAGCGTAGACGAATTTACCTGAGAAAACATGAACTATTCAAGAGTTACCAACTAAGCTAAAGCTCGTGCTACAATTTCGGGGTCTGCTCTAGGACCATGAAGCAACACTTCATCCTCGCGATTCCTAACCACCGACGGCCGTCTGTCCTCGGAAACGTTCCCCAGCTGTGTTATCAATCGCCAACCGCGGTATTCCTGACACGCACGCGCTTCGACACGCGAGGCAAACCGATAGCGTCGTCCGGCGATCAACTATTCCAGGCCAGATGAATTATCGACCCAATACTCCTTCTATTTCAGAAACGTTCGCCTCGTGCGCGCGCCCTTACCAATGCATTCTCCGTTTACTCTCCATTGTATCGGCGGCGCATATCGCGATACGGTTATCATTCATCGATGGCTAACAGTACCCCGAGGACTGTTGCCAGGATAGGAGTGCCTGCGCCTGGACCGTGCTTATATACCTGCCTCCTCTCGATCCTATCGCGGCTATACTGACTAGTACCTGCTGATATTTTACTGTCAACCGATGCTTCCGAACCGTTGTCCTGGGATCAGATTGCCTACCGACACTGGCTACCGAGAATTACGAACGATACCTCGCGTTTTCTTCCCTGCGTGATTCTTTTCCCGCTCAAGGAACGCGAAGAGCCTTCCTGCGTAGACCGCGAAGCAAATCAGAATCGAGAGGTCGCATGGGTGACGATGGAGACTGCTAAGTAGATACCCAGAGGTTCACGTGTCGGAGGGAACGAGAGAGCTAGAAGCCGTGACGTGCTAGCTTCGTCGAACGAACCGGCCGCTGCTATTCTAATTTAACTCCCTCATCAACGGCTGACTAGTCAGACTCAATCTGCTTACTATGCGATCGTCCATGACTTCTCACGAGCTACCGGGAACGATTTGTAAAACTGCGCGTATCGAACGAGAGTTTGGACGTAATAGCAACGGATTTTCATCCAAGTGACCCTAACTCTGATAATTCACGTCTAAAAGGAACATAAACATAGCAGTAGCAGTAGTAGACCGAAGTAGACCTTGATACTGTTATATGAATTACACCGAACGCCTTCGTACGTATTCTTTATGATCGAACGTTTTCAAATAGGCTCTAAACACGACAGCCTATGGCCGACTTAAATCCGAGCTGTTTGTGGTCAGAAGAGATCAAAGTGTACTTCCTCGTGGCCGTAAATGATAGCTTCTAAATAAGTCCCAATAAATTATAAATGTTTACTGGGACGTGTAACTGAACTGAAATTCTCATCTAAACACGCCTCTGATAAACAGAAATATTCCGAAATGTTCCTATCCGATTATATCCATGAATCTAATGAACAAAAATTAACAACTACGTTCTATAGAATTTGATCGAGTAGCAATTATTCGATTCTATCGGAAAAAAAAAGACTTTGTCCGAGAATGCCGTCTCCGACTGGCTTATGATCAACGAATGCGCACTTCGAAGGAAGTAAACGGGAGAAAAATCGAAGAAAAAGGTCGCGGAGGAAGGCAGTTCGTCTACGGGACGCGCATAATTACGAGATCACGTCTATGGAAGGCGTCTTCGTCGCGTCTGGTGTCTGTTGATGTTACCTAAGGGCTTTCAGGTTCATTGTCGCGTTGTGTGAACTCTCCTTTGTTTACTCGCAAGCGAGCGTCCTGAAACGTCGGCGTGCTTATCACCGCTCGATCTGTACGACGTCTTTCCTCCGGTCTCCTGGCTAACGAACTGAATTCCGTTGTCCCTGATGAGCTTCGTGTTCTTTCCATCCGAAAACGGTACACAGAATCAACGCGACGCAATTAGACAGCCTGCGATCGGTTGTGTCAATTTTTAGGAACGTTTGCGAGATTTACGAAATTGACGCGCGACTGGGATGTCGTTACATTCATTATTGTAGAAAACTGTAGGCGATTAGAAAGCAATTTTTCAGTACAATAGGACGAAGGAGCGTGATTTATCTATGTAAGGAAACCGTGCAGCTGATATCGTAAAATGTTCGATTCGGTCGACTTCGCACGGTCGCGGTGGCCTCGGTTTGAAAATAAAAAAATTCGTCGTTCCAGGTCGAGATTAGTATGAAGGTCGAGCGCATCTCGAGCAGTGCTCCTAATGTCGAAGCGTTTTAGAAATGCGCGTAACGGCCTAGATTCGATCTAACGGAGCGACCAACTGTGTCCCTCTCGTTCTCTCCCTCGCCTCGACTTTGTCATACTCGACGAGCTCGTAATATCTAACGGTTTGAATGTATAGATCGTACACGAACGGGATATAATTTGCTGCACCTATGGCCGTCAATCTTGACATGCGGACAGCTGAGTCGGTCGATTAACTCACGGCGGAGAGTTATCGGAACGTTTAACGGGGTGTAATTCTTTTAATTGTAAATTAAGCAAAAGTTGTACGAAAGCGTCAATTCCTGACCAACTACCAATTCTATTTTATTTGTTGTTGCTGTATAGAAGTCATTTTTTTCATTCTAATTTTAAATTAAACAAGTAATAACTCGTAATCACCACTAGTCACCATTTTAAGTGTCTACATAGTCGAGTCATCAGTGTTCAACGAAAAGGTTTTCCGTTCCCTTTTTAACGTTTTCAGTACGATTTTCGCCATCGTTTCAACATCCTGTACAATTCTCGTAATTATAAAACTTAATGTAATCCTCGCCGAAGATTGGAAGTCATTTTGTTACAGCCCTTCGATACACCGGGAGACCGCGAGCATATCGCAACGAAACGGGACTTGAGTCCCATTAATTTCGCCTTAAGAACGGCGAGTATTTATGCCTTACCATTAAACAATTACGTGGATATAAGCGGTAAGTGGTTTTTTACTCACGAATTATAGGGAAATTCACCAATGAGCGTGGAGCTGCGATTGAGATTACCACGCTCTCCACGAGTGTCCTTTATCAAAAGGATTTCCTTAATTACCCAGATCCAGAACGGGGCAATTAGAAGCGAACATTGAGGGAAGGCGGTTCGTTAAACAGATGCTTTCCTTGCCCACTAGTTTACTATACGCGAGATAGCAGCGTTTAACTGCTGCCACTAGAAGTACTTTCTTACCGCTCCCCATTAATATTAGTAGTTCAAGATATTTGTACAAATCGGTGGGTTCTTAAACGATGGAGTAAATGTTTCTTTCCTCGAGCCGCTCGCGCAGTAATAGAATAATAGAACCGGATCGAGTCAGTCTATAAATACGGGGTGTTCTTCAAGCACTGCACAAATCGATTAACAAGCAGTCACATAAAAATTGTAACACTACTGACGATTAGTATTTGGCTATTCCTTCTTATTAATTTTATATACCATTATACGAAAGCTACATTTGTATTTATGCATTCCACGATATTTAGTTGAATTTATATTATAAAGGGAATTTCAAGAAATAATGTACATTATTTCGTCGCATTTCTCAACTTTCATGGAGTTAATCGATTTGTCCAATGAACGGCTCGAATGTTTGACTTGCAATCACTAAATTAGTATATACGAAGAATTAATTATTCGAAACGTTAAGCTTGGAATTAGACCTGAAGAAGATCCCCACGAATCGTCACTTTTCCGAAAACGTATTCTACATTTGCCTTTCACCGTTTTATTTTAAAAAATCACCAAACTTTCTGTGGACAAAGTCGCAGGAAAAGACTAGCACTACCGCCGCGAAGAGATGAAAACGTTAATACCAATTAACTCGTAATCATCCTCGGCGATTTTAACGTCGTTGCGATATTCCTCGACGCTCGCCGCCGCTTCAGGCGCCGATAAGCCGAGCGTGTCTTCCATCGCGATTAGCTGCGTTTCGCGAAATTAATTACCAGCCGTTTACTTTATTGATTTTTCGGATGGCGGGATAATTCATCGTCCGCTCGCGGTCGCGATTAATCTTGCTAGCGGCTAATTCATCGCGTTACAGTGGGCGCATTAATCTTCCAAGTTACGACCCGACCGGCAATTCCGCAAACGTAAGAGGAGTTAGCGGCCATTAACGTGGCGAACCAGATCACTACAATGCGCGTCTAATCGCCTGTACATTAATTAGCCGAGTGCCGTAACAGCCACGACGAGCGAACCTCGAGATTGCGCCCCGAATTACCCGCGACGCTGGATCCCGCTAAGAAACCGAAGAAAGAAGATGAATCGCGCGTTAAGGGGGAACATCTATTTTCTCGCGTAGAGGGATCGGGCCGAAAGTCTGCTGGCAGATGCCAGTGACACCGCAGAACACGGGTGGATTCACCGATGATGATACGGAAGTCATTTTCCGCAAGGTTAAAACGCACGCGTTGACTCGAGGTTCGGTATTGGAAATATTCGTAGATCTTCGAATAAACTTCTGTACGTATACCTGGTTAATTATTGCCTAATGTCACGTGGAACCGTTGGTCCAGTGTCCCGAGTTTCCCACCGGTTTGTCAGCTGGAATCGCCATAGAGTATCCGAGATGGGCTTGCGGCTCTTCCTGAAGGGACGAACTCGACGTCTGCCACCCTCGACACCGTTTGATGAATTAATCAGGGAAACCATCGGTCGGTTACCGAGGACACGACGATTGCGAGTGGGAGTGGGGATGAAATTTCTGGAATTCGCTCGTGACCCTTCCGCGCACCGAGGCGAATTAATTCCTGGAAATCCGCGACGACCGGTTACAAATATTTACTACGCGAGCTTGACTTTGGCTAAACTAACGACGATACAGCTTTGTTTTGCTTTTCGTGTGCTGGGTTTTTGTATCCGTACTGGCAAACACGGTTTATTCTTAGAATTTTTGGTAAATGTTAAAGTTTGTAAACCCGCCGCAAATTCGAAAATACAAAAGAAAATTAAATGAACTGCATGATGATAACTGTATATGATATAACATTCGCGAATACTCCAGCAAATTTTCTAAAAATGATCTTCATCGTAAACGAACATCTGAATAGCTTCTGTGCGTCTTTAGTGATTCGAATGGGCGATACGGATTTAGCCAGTGCTCTGATATATTTAGCATGGGAAAGATTGTATCGGGACTGGTTAAACCGGCGCGTCCGATATAATGATTATGCGCCGTCGTCGGCGGAAAAATTCGATTCGGACGCCTCATAAACCGGCTTCGATAAGTCCACGGAGGAGCCGTTTTAACGGGGACGCGGAGAATCGTCCGGGCGTCGTTAGTCCTCGTGGGATTCCACCAGGTATCGTTCTCCTTCTCCCCTTTCCCACCGGCTTCTCGGCCAGAGACGGCACTGTTTCGCACGAGTAAACGACGATAATAATTATCCGCGGCTAATGCGCGCTCCTTTCGACGACAATGCGTCTTCTAAGAGTAGGGTAATGTATCAGGTCATTCCAGGAGGAAGCTCTTTACCTTCCCTGTGCCTCTCCGAACTGTGTAACACTTTTTTACCGTGGTGGCAGCTGCAATTACCATGCGAGTTGGAAGCCTGATATTTTGCAATACGAGAACGAAACAAGCAATCTCTACGTGTAGAAAAATACTTATCGAAATGTCCTCGAAAACAACTTCCCTCAAAGAATCATCCTACCAAACGAGCGAACAACGTACACGATCTATCGAAAAGGACCCAAACCAGTTACGAGTAAAAAAAAAAGAATAGCGCGCAAATGTATCTATGGTAAGCACAGGCATTATTGGATCGACTAATTATCTCGATAGAGTCCAGTCCCGATAGTGTCACGCGTTCAGGCTGGCGACGCGATAGCTAATGTCAGAGAGCAGAACCATGGATAGGACGACAATTATTTTTTCCTTGATAACGTTGCGCAGATTGCTCTCTCGCCGATAAGCATCATCCTGGCGGTTCCTGTTTCTCACGTTTCCACTTAAGGACCCCTCGGGGACTTGAGCGAGTATCGTGCGGGGACGTCGTACTTTACGCGTTTCCGTGCACTTCCACACGGCAGAGCGCAATTACGTTTATTATGCTCCGGTTCGGAGCAGTCTCCACGCGGAAACGGGCAGACATCGACGATTCTTCTCGATTCGAGCGCCCTTCAAATTCGAAGTTCTAGATGTCTGGTGTACACCGTCTACTTCGAAAACTATCGTTGACTCGCACTCGCTAACACCGAAGACATTGCAGCGTTTCAAGTAAGCTTCAATTATCGAAGCAGGCAAAGTGTCAACGCAACGTCGTTTCCGACGATGACCACACAAGACGTTCGAAACGTTGCATCGTAATAAGCATTCTTCGATGAAGAAACATCGCCGTAGACCAAGCCATTAATTAACCTAAGCATACCGAGCACGATGACTACAAATAACCTCTCTACATTGATGAATAGATCTAGCGTTGCGTTAAACTAGACTAACAGTAACTTCGGGACGTTATTAATCTGACAAGGCTTCCAGGACTGGATGGCAAGATGAAAATCGCAGTCATCGCGGCATACGAAGAGTCCTTGCCGCGTAACTTCTCGAAGCCTTTTGAACCCTCGTTCCTCGACCCACCCTCAAGGATAGCAACTGGCAGATGCTCCCTCGTCATCAGGAGAACCTTATTTAAATCCCTACCAGCGACAAGCGACTTTCATCTTCTCTCCTACCTCCGTCTACGTACATCTGTCCAGTTTTTTATCGATCTCGCGCCATACGTTACGAGGCTCGTCTCGACTGAACGTTCCGAGCTGCGTCAGGATCCCCCTGGTCACGTGACACGGCCAACGCGACGGATTAATGATCGCACACCCGAGGCTAATTGATTTTAATTTCAATCTCACCTCTGTGCACCACCGATCGACCCCTTCGGGGCCTTCGAGATCTTCTGGGTGTTCTTCGGGGCTCGCTAGACGTCTCCGTCGCTTCTTCGCGGCACTCTTTATTTTTCGACTTGGCGCATGCACGCTTGTTAAAGCGCCCGTTCTCTCGGTCCGCGTGTCGCGGAAAGATGGCTCGAAAATCGTCGTCGTTAGAGTGCGCTTAATTTGTTGTTGGTGTTCCGGGGGTGAAGTAGCGACAGAGTGACGTTAAATTGCGACGATACACGACGTTGTATGAATTTACCATTTTGGTATTGTTGCGTGACGAATTAAAATTCCTAAATTAAAGGATTAATCTCACGCGTGCAATGTTGTGTAATCAACCAATGGAAAACACCTGGCCAGAAATTGCAACGCGACCCATCCACTTTCCTCCTTCGATTGCCTGCCTCCCTTCTCGACCCTTCGCGTTTCATTTTCCCTTATCCTGGCCGGACTTTGTTTCATTCCTCGGCCTGTTATTCGCTTTTCTGTTGCTTAATTATACATCGTACGACTGCGGCGGGTTCTTGCCTCGGCTCACCCTGTCATTCTGACATCAAGATCTCCTCTTCTCCGTCCAGCCGTGGACATAATGATCCTTCCGCGGCAACAGGCGTCGCTCGATTTTTCCCCGATTCCGCGTCTAATTCTATCTGTGAAATCCCTCTAAGACAAGTATCCGGTAGCTGATTACCCTTCGCGAACCATAACACGCACATCGTACAGAGAACTCGTTCCGAGCGTCTGTTCTGTTGGCCGAAGGAGAAGGAACAGGCCGCTGGGGCCACGATGGAAAAGAGGCGAACGGGGTGAAGAAGGCGTACCGCGCGGCAGGGGAACGCGAAAGAAGAAGAAGAATAAGAGGAGGAGGAGGAGGAGCGAGAAGAGGAACAAGAAGACACGGGCGTAGAAAAGCCGAGGCGGTCATGGTCCGATAAGCGGGAATCTACGCACGCAGAAGACACTTTGCGCGAGGCAATCTGATCTAAATATAGCTCGGCTCGCTTCTAAAATTATTACGTTATCCTAGTTACCTGTCGTCCCGTCATACCTGGCCTCGCTCGCTCCGAACGGCTAGTGTTGTGGGAAACACGCGCAGGAATACGAAACGACACTCCTACGATCGCGTTTCCTTTCGTACGCGCTTCCGAGCTCCCTACAGGAATCTACAGGAAACGTCCTTTTGGTACCGAGACAGAGGAATACGCGAATATTATCAATTGACCAAATAATGAGGTTCGTAACACCAGTAACATTGAACCTAAGAGCAACACTTCTTGCAACTGCTCTAGACTAGAGTTTCACGTGGGCTCCAAGTACTTGGCTCAATGAAGCGTTCTCCTCTATTTTCGTTTGGGTAACGATCCCTTGGTGAAACCTTGTCAATCAATTTCCAATGTAAACACAACACCTTCGCGCCATTAATTCACGACGAATAGTGTCCTCGCGTTAATTCCCACGGCATGTAGAATCTAAACGGCGATCGAGGCGAGCCAGTCGCGTCGTTTTATTGTTTCCTTTTCACCCCTGGGGAAGCGTAAATCTTGCGGGCCGTCGTCTCCGCTAGATCCTCTCGATGACGTGCTCGTACCTGGACATCGTGATTCACACACGCCGATGGGTACGCGGATAATTATTGCCGGTGCAATTAGGTGCACCTACAGTGCACCGTCGATTGACTCGCAGCTCAGCCGTAGAGGGGCGGGGGCGGACTGGACGACGATTAATTATCCAGCGGTTGACGCGTCAGAATAAGTAATTGTCGTCCAGCTACGTTCCAAGCGCGACGTCCAACTGGAAGCGGCCGACCGTTGAAAGAAAATCGCCGCTCGTCGAGGAATAGAGGCGTCGGGTGATTTACCTAGTCGAGCGTAATCGGTGATGAATGGCAACCGCCGACGGGCCACGTTTCGTTAAAACCGCGGTAAGCGTTCACGGACGGCCGGCGGTATCATAATTAAAGGCGTGCATGCCGCCGCGAAAATCTGTTTATCGTACCGTTACCGTCGATAACGCGTCGACCTGACCGCGATATCCGCGTGCATTGTGCGTCCGGTGTCCTAGGATTAACCTTAAGCCGATAGTTACTATTGCTCTGTCGCTCTATCTTGTTCACGGCCTTCGTCACGCGGTAGCTTTTGACACGGCCAATACCGAAAATGCGTGTTAGTAGAGGTTCCGTCGTTATGGGACAGCCAATAGAGCTGCCTCGCCAACTCCGGAGATTAGCAACCGGGAACGTGCAGATTTTACCGGCTTCGAGAAAGCCTTTGACGCCGCCAGTCGCTCCGTTTTAATCGCCAGACAATCGTAACTAGGAATTTATGGCAACATGTTGCAACACGCTTCTACCTAGATGAATAGAGTTAGGTGATCAAGTTCAATGACCACGTAAAATTCAAGGAACATCTGGACTTTGCATCTAATGCCTATTTCAGGCCTGATGCTCGTTCTATTTATTACTGATACGTCTACCTTGCAACCGACCAGTGATTATCCGTGGATGACTTGAAAATATTCGACACGGTCAAGTCTGAAAGGCACGCAAGTCGGTTGCAAGTGGAGCTACGCGCTTTAAGCTCTTTGTGTCGAGAAAACCAGCTCGCATGCTAACGCATTACATTTATATTACGACGACGGAACAGATTCGCGAGCCACAATGGCCAAAGCAAACAAAGACCGAGCAAAACTGTCCGAATGAAAAGAAAATATCCGCGCAGATTTCAAAGGAGAAGCAAAAACGAGGGAAAACTCGCCGCTGTGAACGTACCGCGTGACAAAGAGGAAAAGGCTCCCCTTCGATTTAGTTTCCACGCTCCCTTTTCCTCGACATTTGCCGTTTGCCCGCGGCGTTTCGTTACGTTTATGTCCCAGAGTTTCCTCATTCCGGCGAAGGAACATCAGCAACGCAGCAGTGGGTTTATCTAAACCGAAGACCAAGGGCAGACACTTCAGGGTGAAACCTGGTAACGTGTCCCAGAGATGATGGACGACACGATTAGGTGCACGCTGAGCATAGACACTGCGAACCGTGTAAGTTCCGTGACTAATGAACGACAAAGCTATGATAAAAACTGACAATGAGTTACGCGAACAATATTTAGTTTGTCGAATGAAAATAAGAACGTTTTCAATTGTAAAATCGAGTGATTTCACAATGGAGGAATACAAACCGAATGAACCGACGGAAATAAATTTCCACGCGTTGATCTCATCCGTTATTTATCATTCGAATAAAATTTTGCCTGCAACATCCGTTTCGTCGTTGCACGCAGGTGTCTTTCTCGGAAATTGACGCTCGTGCGTCTCTTCATTTCACTTGTTCCCCGCAGCGGGAAATATTTTATTGGAGATTCTCGGAACATAGAAATAAAAGAGCTAACGCGTATGGACTGGCAATTACGCGATGAGTTGTTGGTTGAACAATTCGCACCTTCGGTTTCGTGCGTTCTGCGAGGACAAGCGTGATTTTGTTCTCGTTAGGAAATGGATGGCTATGCTTTGAACGGGGCATTCGCGCTCTGCCACGCGTTGAAATCACCAGGGCGACGTTTTTATTAATTCCATCGAACGATGGTCGAACTCTGAGCTGTATAGCGATCGCAGGAAACGTTCCATCTCCTTGCAGAGCTGTTAAATCGTGGAATTCCAGGAGTGATTAAAATTTCTAGGGACTGAACGGTCCCGTGGACCAAGAGTCGTCGGAGGGTAGCGGTTTTATAGAGTTCGCAGCGTCGACGTCCCACGGAAATGCGACGACGC